GAAACATTGACCCGAAGACACGGCGTTAAACATCACCACACTGTCTGCACGAGAAGTAGAGGGTGGATATTTAGAAAATATAGTCGGCCTCAACTGTTCAAAATCACGAACGTGAATGTGTCATTATTTTTTTGTAAATAGCCTGCCTTTATTAAACTCCGGCATCAACAGATAAATATACTCGCTCAAACAGACAAGCGCTGTTACCCGACGGGTACCGACTGGCTCAGGTCGGGTATCCACCCTCTAGTTGGAAGCAACAATCCCGCTTGCTGAGTCTCGGGGTAGAAAAATGAACGATGAACGAATCATTGACCCGAAGACTCAGTCGCGAGGTGAACGATTCGTTCATCTGCCGGATACATTTTTCACGTGACCTGCGCTCGGAAAGAGGAAACAAAGGATTTGTTTACCTCGTTCACTTTCGCGTGGCTAGGTTTAGTAAGACGTGAATGCTATTCCTTCACAAGTACTAATTACAGGCTTCATTATTTTAACTTTTTTGTACTTGGAGTTCAGCATAATAGTTTGCCCGAAATTTAAAGTTGAGTGAAGAAAAAAATGCTCCCTTAAATTCTCCCGGCTTTCCAGGTCACTTTTTTTTTTGCGGGGATTTTTTTTCCCCCCCCCCCCCCCCCCCCCCCCCCGAAATGAACAAATGACTTGAAAAAAAGATTTCGTTCATTTTACTGAACGAGATTCAAAGAACCGAGTCGGTAAAATGATCCGAACTTCCCATCACTAGTCCATATGTGTGGGCAGCTACTGAATCATCATCTTTGTGATAATCGTCCTTTCTGTAAATAATTACCTGACTGGCGCGTTGCTATTAAAGATGCAGGCGGTCAGCAGCGGCAATTCTGGCCAAATAGTTTCTCCCGAAATGCGTTCCGCTCGAATATCGACACCCTGCAACAACGCGGCGAGTGTTGAGAGAGAGAGAAAGCCGGGGGGAGTGAGAGTGCCTCCATCATTGAAGCTCTCTATTTTTATTTTTTTCCCTCCTGCCACTACTCTTGAACGGTTCTTAATGCACTTTGTTTCACTCATGCGCTCTCCGCGCCGCACATCACCACCTATCGGTCTCTGTCGCTTCATATTCAAAGCCCTACACCAGCGTCCATTAATCAGTGCTGGGACTCTTGCAGCATAATTGCACGCACACATTGTGGTCAGCTGCAGGGAGCTAAACGTATCAATGCACATCATACTCATTTTAAAAAAATAAAATACTGTTTTGCGGCAGGACGTGTGTTCGAGACGTCCCAGTGACTGCGGCCCATCCTAGTGCAGCCCACAGACCCGTCTGTCAGACCTCATGAAACCGTTACGTCGGCCCGCTGCTTCACTCACTAAATGTGACGCCGTGACTCATATTTTGTACGTGCGAATTCATGTGTGCGTCCGTTAAAGTCCATGAAGCTGTGGCTCTCGGCTTTCGCTGCTTCCAGTTAATTAATGAGGCCTCGAGTTCTAGTGTGTCATCACAAACACAAGCGCATTGGAACAACTATCTCTCCCTTCCTCGCTCTCCTCTCGCTCTAGTGTGAGCTCTTCCTGACTGTTTCCTCCTCCTCCTCTAGTCCTTTTAATTAATAATCAGCTGGGTAATTGGTGCTTTCTACAGGTGGAACACACACACACACACACACACACACACAGGGAGTACGGAATTATAGCTAGTAGTGGTTGGTTGGTTTAGAGTGTATGTGTGTGATCCCTCTAATGCAGGGGTCTCAAACTCAAATCAGCTGCGGGCCTGATGCAGCCCACTTCAACCGAACGCGGGCCAGACTAGCGTCCGAACGGCATGGTCGACAATAACACAACTTAACACTCACTTTCAAAAGCAGTCATTGAACCCCACCCTGGGGGATCGGTCCGAATGAGACTACAACACTAGTCCTCCTTAAGCGGGGGAGACCTAAGGTCATGTGACCGTGGAATTCCTTTATAGCCAAACGTGAAGTTACGTGAATCGAAGCTGCGTAGTAATGGACGGAGAGGCTCGTCGGTGACGTCAGATGCTTCATGTGTTGTTAGTGTGAGTCGTAAAGGAAAACTTTATTAAACGAGCGATGCTAACGGTTAGTCACATGATCACCTGCGCGAAAGAGGGCAGGAAACTGAATTTCACCCTCCTGCTCTCTGCACCTCGGCCGACACACACGACCCGCCCCCCATGTCAGTCACATGCATGCCACGTTCACTGGACAAGCACACAGTAGGAAACCAGAACATCATAACATGTCCCACACAGCAGCCGACAGTGGGGTTACAGTATAAAACTTGCGGGCCGCACTAACATTACACTTTCATATTAGGATGGGGCCACAAAATTTCGGCCCGAGGACCGCAATTGGCCCGCGGCCCGCGAGTTTGAGACCCCTGCTCTAATGAGTCTGGTAAAACCTGTGGGGAGCTGATGGAGCCATAAATGAGATTAATCTCTCTGTGCTGAGTAAGTCTACGGAGTGTCTCTGAATATCTTTACACAGATGTTTTACAAGATTTCAGCAAATATTAATACATGTGTTGCATGTGGGTGGGTGTTCGTTGCTCCGGATCTGTCTAGTTTCCTCTTGAAAAAGTTTTTTACTGCCAAGTAAATTATGCCAGTTAGGGGCTTAATGAGAGGCTGACGAGCGGGTGTTGCCTGTTATGCAGCCATGGATTCTATGTTATAGCTGAAACATTTCAGAGATTTTTGAGATTTATTTGCGTTGGTTTCATTGTCAAATTCTAATTGCTACAGTTTTAGCTCAAGGCTCTTTTTTTTTTTTTTTTTTCGTCCACAAATTCCTCCCCCTCGATTTCTCTGCCCGTTTGATTGTCTTGACATTTATGCCCGCCAAATCGACGTCAAAGGCACGAGGCTGGATTATCAATTAAAGACTGAACCTGTGTTTCTGTTTGAAGGCTGGTGTAAGGAATTAGTTTATATTGTTTACTTCCAAGTTTATTCACTTCTGTCTGACTCCACCAAAGACTTAAGAGGAAGCAGAAACAGACCGCTGTGATCAAAAAAACCTTCAGATTTTTGACAGATGTAAGTGGTGCTGTTGCCTCTTGCGTTGAACACATCTCTGCCTCCTAGGAACATTTAGATTTCGTTTTTTGCAGCTTTTATTTGAGAGATTTGATTGCTTGCAGCCCTGAAATTTCTTTTCAAATTATTGTTTTCTTCCAAAAATTTCTTTCACCCCAAATCTTTTACATTTCCTCTTGTGGGAACTGATTATTCGTATAATGTAGCTAATCTGAGGAACTTGTGCTGCTCTGATTGGTTAAATGGGTGAAAATATTTGGAATGCCAATCGGATTGCTTGGCTTGAATCATCTGTAATCGCCTCCAAATTATAATGATAATAATGATTCACTTTATTTACCGAGCTTTAACAGGGCAATTACACTCTGCTTGCAGCTCCAACTGGGCAAAATTTAAGCTAGAGACCGAGCCAAAGTGGATTTTCGAAGGATGAGTATGGAAAGCGCTGACACTGGTCTACTAACATGCTAATTTCCTTCCTAATTATGTTTGACTTTAAATGAAATGTTCAACTTCTCACAGAAAAACATAGATCAGCCCATTCAGCGGCATGGCAAAGCTAGTTAATTACACTATGTGGTTAATAATTCATTTTATTTTTTTTCTATTTAGTCTTCCACAATGACTTGCATGTGCAGGTGCTGCATCAGATTTTAGATTCACCCACATCTTTTCAACTTTAAACATGAGGAAAAAACTGACTGCAACGGACACAATTCAAAGTTAAAATCCAAATGGAAATGTCCAGTCGCCAGCATGTGATGAATATGTATAATTTAATCCCAATAGTCTGTTAAGAAGAAAGCATGCCTGAAGAGGTGATACGATTAAATTATCTGCCTTTGCCTGTAAAATGGAAAAGCGGTTATAAAAACAGCTATTGAAAGGTGGGAATAACAGTACATTGCATTTTAAGTTTGCACAACGCAGAGAATTTATTTTTCAAAATGCGAAAAATGCCTTTTGGCAGATGAAAGTCCCACATACAGGCTTTAGAGTTGTCACAACCTGCAAACTAAAATAAATGCCTTGTGTTCAGTGTAAGCATTTTGCAGTGAAGTCTCCAGATCTGAGCGTCAGTTTCCTTTGTGTGCCACGTTTATTTTTTCATACGTTGGCACATCCATTCAGCACTCAGTCATTCCGTTTCTTCATACTTGCCAGATGCGACGACTACAGCAACAACGCTGGTATTGTTTTCACAACAATTTTGAGTCGTTTTGTGAATCATCGCGGCAAAATGGGGTCCAGGAGATGCGGTCCCACTTCCCGCCCGGGCCTCATTCTGGCGCCCGGTGTGATGTTTTCACAATTTGGAGAGTGATTTTACCGATGCAACGATATCATTGCACAATGACCTGCCGGCTTTGGGGTCAGACTTTGAAAGGTGGTTGTCAGACAAAGCTGGAAGCTGTTGAGATCATTTTGACACGTAATTTGTTTTCCAGTTTGTTCACATGTGACTGGGTTTTATATAATGCATGTAGAGGAACACTCGCAGCATCGTCCTATTTCTATCGGTGTGCTCGTCATCGGTGGAAATACAAGACCCAGACATCTCATCCTCCATGCGTCAGCGTTATTGGCGGAAATTTATTGTACCTGATACTGATTGTGCTTTTGATTGTGAAAATGGGTTTTTATGAAGGAGAGTTTTCAATAAATCCCATTTTGATTAATAGTCTAATTATTGAAAAATGATGAAAAATGGCCTTTCCTTCCATACAAACAAAACACAAAGGTTTTTCTTCTCCCCCCTCATTTTCGATAGTCATATTTGCATGGAGAGAAGACCATATTCTTTTTGTGCTTTCAGTTTCACGGCTCATTAAGATGAGTGAGTGCTCCTTCTTGAATGTTTACGCAACTAAAATAATTACTTTGATAATTCCGAGCTGTAAAACTGCTTTCACCTCATATACTTTCCCCCCCCCCCGCTTTGTTGCTGCAGGTGGGTTACGAGAACGCAGGGACCGTGGAGTTCCTGGTAGACCGACAGAACAAACACTACTTCATCGAGGTCAACTCTAGACTCCAGGTTGAGCACACGGTCACCGAAGAAATCACAGAGTGAGTAAGCAGATGTTTAAACGGTGGGCAGCTGGATGGTCTCGGCGGTCGCCGTTTGTTTGGCCTCAACTGCAGCGTTTTTTATCTTGTGATGGAGAGAGAGATCTGGAGGTATATGGAAGTGAGGGAAACAGTTAAGACAAAGGAGGGAATGTTACAGTAGAAAAGGAAATTGAAAAATAGAAGAGGAACATGGTGACATTGAGAGAAGGAGGGGATTGCTAGAAAGTATAAAAAGGCCGTTGTAGGAAAGGGAAATTGGGGGACGGAGAGAAGAGCCAGAACCGATGGCATCAGTGAGGAGAAAAGCAGAGCGATGAGGTCTGAAAGGGGTCCGAGAGACAACGGGAGCGAAGGAGAGCAGGAGACGATGGGGAAAGACATAAATAGCATTGCGCTTCACTGATGACCTGTGGGATTTGCTCAGCTGAAACAACACAGATGGGTCTCAAAGTAATACACACACACGTTCAAGGTATAAACACAAAGAAAAGAACCCAGCCAGGTAGAAGGCCTTCCAGACACACCAGAAAGCTCCAATCACACTACTTCATATTGGATTTTCTGCATAATTGGCTCAATTGATGAATTAAGCTGACATACTTATCAATCAGTGCAACTAATAGGAAGTCATAGGCTGGGGGACGGGGGGGTTGGAAAGTGGAGATCTGCTCGGGAACTAAATTGTTGCACCTGTTCCCATGGCAACCGAACAAGACAGACCGACAAAGTGTGAAGAGTGTGGCTAACAAAATTGTCAGTCTGTCTCTTGTTCGGTTCCTTTCATCTCTCTGCGTCTCACACGAGGACTTTATTCACCTCGCTGTATTTGCGTCGCATCACAGCAACCACCAAGTCGAACAAACACCGCTCACAACATAGTCTGCTGTTGGACCTCTGCTCCGAACAGACTTATTTGCGATTAAAGCGTTGTCCACTTTTACGTACATCCTGTCAGTTATAAATGCGGGTAATCTGACTCCATGACGATGATTGGAAAAGAAATAAAAATGTATTTTATTTTTATATATATTTTGGGGATGTCATAAAAGCAAATGAAGTCTCTTGCAGCCAGGGCCCCTTGGTGCTTGACTTGCAGGAGAACAACGGATAGCTGTTCTTACCGTTTAGATTTTATTTTTATATCAACGTTTATTAGTCCTTTAAGTCGTCTTTATTACTTGATTTTTCAACCTTTACTTTTATCTCACTGTATGTATGAAACATTATAATGTGCTTAGCTCTGCGGTTTTCTTTGTTTTGGAAGCAATAAGGCTGTGAGAATGGGATATTTAACAATAGTAAATTATGTATTTTTATGTCTGCAGAGCAAATGATGCCCACATTTGTCCTTTTTTTCCATCACTGCTATGAAATGCAGTGTCATATTTAACACATTTAAAAAAAATTGAAAAGGGCTGGAATGGAGGAGAACATTTTCATCCTGGCTTCTCCTCCGGCCCCCCTGGTTCTTTCAAACATCTCCTCCTCCCCTTCATGTGGACCAGCTTCTGTACCGGACCCACTCGGTGACTCGCTCCATGTATTCATAGAAAGTCTTTGGTGCAGCACGTGTATCTGGCAGGCATCAATCTAAATGGTCTGCGACGTGCACCCATTTCACAGGCGGGACCGTATTACATTTGAGTGTAAATGACTGTCGTGGTTTCATTTGAGCGTTTGTGTCCATTAGTCTTTCAGCTCTTCCGGTTCACACTCACAAGAAGAGCAGCAAACTTGCCGTTTATTGCCCAAGTCTCCAGAGCCTCGCCGTCTTTCATTGCTTCCATCTCTGGCCTAATTCCTTCATCATCCCCCGAACGATTTGCTAGCGTTCTCCACTCGGGCTGCTGTTGAGTCTCCACTGCTTTGTATTTCATCTTCATTTTATCTGTCTGCATTCGCCTCAGCCCTGTCGTGTCACATACATCCAAATGTGGGGTGTCTTTTTTTGGTATTCCTCTCCACTGGAGGCCATGACAGGGAGTTTACCTTTTAGTGTGAGTAATTACATTTGAAATGCCCATTCAGCCTCCCCAGCACTCTAAATTGTTGTTCATGAATCACTCTTTTACCGCCCTAATGTATTTGCTTGAGATGTTTGGTTTTTAATTCTTTTTTTTTTTAAACAATTGAATGTTCTTCGCTGCTCTCCCTCCTTATCCTCTGCTTTCTTATGTTTTCATTATCTGGCCCTCGCAGCAACTTTTAATGCCGTGTTTAAATGCGAAGGGCTGCGTTCAAATGAAATGATCTGGGCGAGATATCCAGATCGCATGTTAGCGCCACCTGTCAATGGCCACTTAGGCCTGTTTGCCCCTCAATTAGGTGTGTGTGTGTGTGTGTGTGTGTGTGTGAAAATGTGTGTGTGTGTGTGTGTGTGTGTGTGTGTGTGTGTGTGTGTGTGTGTGTGTGTGTGTGTGTGTGTGTGTGTGTGTGTGTGTGTGTGTGTGTGAGTGTCTCTCAGATGCAGTTTAACCTAACTGTCACTGATTGGGTGCTGTCTGTACTGAGGGGGGGGGGGGGGGGGTCAATGGAACTCTCTCCTTGATCCTGGCCTTCCCTCATCTCTCCATTAGGTTGTCCCCTTCATCTGTCCGTCCTCTGCTGACTCGATGCATCTGTGTCTCCACCTTTGTCGCGCCATTGCCTTCTGTTCAGGGCCCCCACCTCCCTCACCATCTTTGATACCTGTCTGGTCATTCACGGTGACCTTTGCCTCATCCACTCTTCATCTTTACCGTGTCCTTTTTTATGAGCTTGCCTCTCGGTACTCTCTCTCCCTCCATCTGGCCTCTCTAATCCAGTTGCCTTGTCATTCTCTGCCTCAGTCTGTCCTCCTTGCCGCCGGGCTTTTGTGCATTTGTACAGGTGGAAAGTTAAATGACAAAGAGCTGAGGGCGGCCACACATTAAAGCGAGTCTAACCAATACTTGGGTATTGTTAATTTATTTATTTATTAAGACTAGTATGCTGTACATACTCTCCAATTACTGTGCATTTGCAGAATTTGGGATGCAGCCGCACGTTTCCGTCCAGTGTATGACTAATGAGTTACTGTGAGATGAGAACTGACGTCTCATCAGGTGTGACACACACACACACACACACACACACACACACACACACACACACACACACACACACACACACACACACACACACACACAGGCGCACTTGTTGCATCGCAACCGAATCCTTATACCAGGAGCTGTCACTTTCCACGCTCCCCCCTCAGCCTTCTCTCCGTCTCGCTTCGGTCGATGAGTCTTCACGAGGAGGTTCCGTTTGTGACCCAGTCGGCATCCTCTCGCTCGTCACTGCTTCTTTTTGGTTGTGTTGCTCCCTGCAGCAGTAATGGGAGCACATTCAACTGTCAGTGAGGAGGCGGAATTGCACAATCCATAACCCGAATGGAGGCACCCACGCACCTACTCATTCACGGAAGGCAGACAAAACCCCCCGAAAAGTTTGACGTCGAAAGGCATCAATGCATACGCGTTAAGAGCTGCACAAGGTCAAATAAAAGAAAGAAAAAACTGCACAGGACTGAACATTATCAAGAACCTCTTCGTCCCTTATCTTGCCTCACATGATTCCTGCATAACAGCCGCAATTCTGTCAGACTGAATGCGTATGCAACACACACACGGAGGACATATTTTGTCTGGGAGGCACACCCATTGTGTGAGTGGTGGTGGGGGGGATAAGCGTGCGTGTTTGTTTGAGCCTGTGCATTCACCTGCGTCCCTGCATTTAAACGTCTCCCCTCCCAAAGTTCAATTTGTCCACGATTGAGCTGCAAACGATCCGGCCTTTGTGCGTCGCTCAGCGGCAGCGCGCATTCCGCTTGTGTGCGACAATTGCCGCGTGGGGGGCGTTGCACATTTTGTGTCAGATTGGTCGACAGAAGTCCTTATGACAACTGTGGTTGAATATTTTAAATGATTAAGATATTACTTTTTAAATGGATGAGAAACGTTTGCCCACGCACAGGACAAAGCAGCTGTACAGTTGACTGACAAGTTATTTTTGCTTTTGTTTTAGGACACATGGTAACGTTATAGATGAAAGAAACCGTATTAAGTGCAGCATCTTGATCTTAGCAATTTGTTTCCATTCTTGGCAGGATGAGAAATTCCCCTGAAACTGCTTTTAAGGCGCAGGAAAAGACAATACTTCCGCTGCACTAAATGACACGTTCCCGCGGACAATCAGCGTGGTATTGAAGGCAATACCTCACAGGTCATTAAACCAAGTGCATCAGGTTCATCGGCGGGTTCATTTGAAAACTATGTTGTATTGATGTAATGAGGCACTTAACAGTGATCTGTATTTGCACAGTACAACTGTACCTCCAAAGCGCAGAGAGTAGGCCGGTCCATGTATGCCCGTATGGAATGTGATTGAGTGTCATGTTTGAATAATTTACGGTTAAGCTTGGTATTGACAACCGGCATTGATTTTGCTTTAACGTCGTAATATTGATCGTCTGCATGGTGATGAACCCGTCCTACTGAAGCTCGATCACACTGAACTCATTATACATCAATTTTCTTTCAAGCCCCGTTGAAAGCCGACCCGTTAGAGTGGAATGGTTAATATCGAATTCAGATTTGTAATAAAAAAAGGTGATTACCTCTTATTTGTTCAAGCAAACACCCCGAAACGACTGCAGTGTTCACCATAAGTGTGGAACACAATTTTGATTTTATAGTTTTGAATACGGTTAAAAAAAAAACCCTTTTCTTGCCTCTTTAGTTGGTGGATGTGGGCGCATGCACACGCATTAATGCACAAGCCGCACCTGGTTATTAGTCTGTTTTGAGCTGCTAATTATTCTTAAATGACCCCACTGCATCTTCATCAGACGGGGAAAGAGGGACAGATGAACAATGCCTTTTCAATAATTGTTCGAGGGGAACACCAAACAGGGGTGGAAACGGGGAGAGAGAGGGGACATGAGGTTAATTAAAAGCGGTGCGGACCGACCGAATTGG